TCCAGCAAACTACAGAATCTCTTCAGTTAAAGGAACAGTCCACCAAAAACACTGGAACCAAGGTATTTAAAGGAACAATGTACCAAACCACAGAAAGAACCTAACACACAAAAACATATGAGTGTTGTGTTCAGGTGTTTTTGTGTATTTTTCACCTTTGTAGAGCGGAGTCTCTTTTTCATGATTTGGGATGTCAGGATCAGCTCCATTTTCCAGAAGCAGTTGAACACATCTCTGATGGACTCCGCTGACAGCAACCAGCAGCGGCGTCTCACCATGACTTGTTCTCTTGTTGGTCATTCCTGGTTGGGCTAAAAAATAAACAAGTCCCTCTTTATGAGGTCAGTGTAACTTGTAGTGTGAGTCTGTGTGGGCATGTCTACCTATCAGCAGCATTCGCAGACAGGCCTCCTGTCCGAACCATGCAGCCTGGTGGACTGCGAGCCAGCCCGGTTTACTTGGCAGCATCAGGTTGGTTCCCGGACACATGGCCAGAGTTTTGACTCTGCTTGAATCACCTTCACGGATTGCCCTAAACAGAGGCTCCTCCTCCCTGCAAAAACAAAACAGGAAACTTTGGAAAGCTGCGACAAAACTTTTTAACTTGTGCCTCATATCCTAATAAACAAGAGCAAATTGTGACATCTTCACCACTTGCTCTTGTCAAGGACGGACGCTTTCACGTCTGTGGAACTGCTTCAGAGCCTCGCTCTACATATCTTCCGAACAGTATTTGTCGCTATGGGTCTGATCAGCTGGTCTCTCAATGGAATTGATAAAATTTTATCCATGAGAAGACAAACTTCGGGCAGCCCGACTTGCCCTGATGAAACGCACGCAGCTGGATATGTCACTGATTCCTGGGGCGATTGGAAGGTGATGTGTCTATCTCTGCTGTCCATCGAGGATTTTGAAGACACATTTGTAATTGGATTTATGATAACAGTTTTCCTTCTTTTTGGAATCGGCTGGTTTATGGTTTATCAATAAACAAGGAAGTCGTCAGCAGCAAATTTGACCCTGGTCAGGCTGATTGCCTTATGTGATGGTTTGCTCGGTGGTTGCGAACTAAACCACAAATTGGATATGATTTGTCAAAATCACAGGCCACTTGCAGTCCCTAGGATTCACTGGCAGGATGGGTCAGATCTCTGGGAATACTCTCAGCCATGGACCAGCGGTGTATCCACTTAATTTGGACATTTGGGATTTGCGAGGACCAGCAAGACTCAAGGCAGACATAAATCAGTGAATATCCTGATGCATGCTCAATAATCCAGGTAGAAAAATCCAAAAAAGTTAAATCTGGTCCTCTGGACATTCAAAAAAAAAAATAAAAAAGCAAAAAAAAAAATGTAGAAACGTTTCGTCTCTCATCCGAGAGACTTCCTCAGTCTGAGGTGCTGTATTCAGCTCAGTCTCTTAAATAGCACCTTCTCAGAGTGGATCAACCAGTTTGCTGCTGACAACCAGAATCAGCTGCTCACATGGTCAAGAAGGACCATCAGCCTAACAATGGATCATTAGCACACTGAGCACACATTAGCACATACAGCACCTCAGACTGAGGAAGTCTTTCGGATGAGAGACGAAACGTTCCTACTTTTTTTTTTTTTTTTTTGCTTTGTTTTTTTTTTTAATGTCCAGAGGACCAGATTGAACTTTTTTGGATAAATCAGTAAAGTTCTGCCTGTCCCCAAAGCAAATATTGTTTATCTGAATTCGGCCTCCTAGCTGGCCTTGACAATTCACCTGGAGGCACTGTAAATTTGATGCTCTGCCCACTCCCCTCCCACCGAGGAAGTCTGCAGACCTATCAGAGGGACCCGGCTGAATAAACATTGTGTAATCATTTCAGGAGACTTGGATTCTCTCTGGCGCTGTCCTAGGTCAGCCTCAGCACCCCGCAAGAGTATTTACGGATCTCACCAGAGGGAACTGACTGATTAGACCATTCTTATCAGAACTCCTACAGTTCGTCTAATGTCCTTGGACACACTCACTTCTCTTTTCGTCTCCCCTCCCCTGCAGAATGTCTACATCACTATGTGTTTATGTGCGGGGTGGTTTTTTTTTTTTTTTTTTCAATTTCAGGCTATCTCTCCTCAAGGAGTGAGAGTCCTCCAAATCCTATATGTGTCACTTTCATGATTTTTTGTCTGTCTAAACAGGTCTCACTTGTAACTGAGTCTTTGAAGCTCAATGTGATTTATCTGTGTAAATAAAGGTTGAATGAACATCGGTGAGTCAGGTGCTTCCACATCACAGATGAACTCACTCTTCAGGTTCTGGAACAATGTGGACCAATCTTCCATCAGCTTTGTAATACGCCACCATCCTTTTCCCAGAACCCGTCATAAATCGACTTACAGTCCCCACAAAGGTCTTCCTGCGAACACAAATCAGCCAATCAGAGAGCAACTGACACAGCTGCAGCCAGTCAAGGACCACACCCACCCAGCACAAGGACTCTTCCATCTACTCCCCTCAGGTAGACGATACAGGAGTCTGTCATCACGTACAAAAAGACTAAAGGACGGTTATTACCCACAAACTGTCAGACTACTGAACTCCCAATAAATAACACTGAACAAATGGCAATAACATTGCACCAAGACACATCTGTGACAACTAATATGACTAATATTAGCTAGTTACAGCCAATATGTTTATTGTTTATTGCTGCTGCACTATGTAGACTGTATCTAGGTTGATGTATCTAGGCTGATGCAATAATGCCCCTTTTCCATTAGTAACGGTACAGCACGGTTCTACTTGACTTAGCACGGTTCCAAGACTTTTCCATTAGTAACAGTACATAGAACCGGTCCTTTTTTTCAGAACCCTTTTCTCTGTGGTTCTAACCGGGCCGAGCAAGTAACAAAATGTGATGTCAGAACACTGTCGGTCACTGATTGGTCAGGGGGCAGAGTCACTGGATATTTCAGAAAGTTTTCACACCGATCCGCCATTTGCAATTACTCTGAACCTGGAGCAGCGGTTGGATCTATTTTAAAAGTTTTAAAAATAATAATGACAACACCGTGGTCTAAAGCTGAAGTCCAGGCATTTTTTGTGCTTGGTGGCCGACAACAAAGTTCAGAGCGAGCTAGATGGAGCTCTGCCAGTCTCCTTGGTCCCCTCCCCCGGAGCCTCGGAGCCGGGCAGGCCGTCATCTCCCTGGCTCTGAGCTCCACTGGTCACCATGGAAGATCCTCTATGGTACCGACTCGGGGCTTGGGCTCCGGATCCTGGCCTTACGTGCTCTGCAGTCTCCACTACGGAGGATCATACGAGCTGCTGACTCGTAGAAGGCCGTTGCCCGGACCCCGGCTGCACGTAATCATAATGGCCGAACCCCGATCCCACCAGACAGGCGGATCCGGACAGGTCTGGGACGGAGGGTGGAAACGATTTTTAAAAACATTTTATGTATAAAAATAATATTTTTTTTAGCATTATATATATATATATATATATATATATATATATATATATATATATAT